GGGGGGGGGGGGAATGGCCGGGCTCCCCAGCCTCTTCTGCCGAGAGGGATTGGAGGCCAGGGCGAGCCTGCTCGGAGGCTCCCGGCCCACCTGTCCGGCTCTCCCCCGCCCGCAGATGGCCTACCAGGTGGTGGAGAAGAGCGCAGCCTTGGACACCCTGGAGGCCCAGCTGCAGGAGCGGCAAAGCAGGTGCGGCGCCAGCGGGTGCCGGAGGTGCCACCTTCGCTGGAGACGAGGAGGAAGGGATGGCATGGGCGGGAGAGGTTTCCCCACGTCCCCAAACACCTCCCAGGTTTGTGGCTGGTGTCAGATGACCGAGCGGCGAAGCCCTGAGAGCGAAGGCTTGCTTGGAGACCTGGCTTAGCTACCTGACTGGCCGCGTGACCACGGGCAAATCTGTCTCAGTTCCGGGCGGTTCCCACTGGAAAGTGACGCACGAGTTCGAGACCCATCGCCCTACCCCGCGTCCGACAGGCTGGAGGCTCTGCAGGTCCGCGTGGCCCAGTTGCAGGAGGCGCGGGGGCTGCAGGCCCGGCAGGTGGAGGACCAGCGGGCCCAGAACGCGGCGCAGCGGGAGGCCTACGAGGCACTGCGCGTGCACACCAGCTTCCAGGAGGCCGCACTGCGCAGGCTCCAGGAGGAGGCGCGCGACCTGCTAGAGCGGCTAGTTCAGGGCAAAGCGCGCGCCGCTGCAGAACGCAACTTGCGCAACGAGCGCCGGGAGCGGTGAGGCGCTGGCCCGCCTCTTCTGAAGGAGGGCCCCCACCCTGCAGGGGAGGAGTCCGGCGTCTCCCGCCGCCCCGGGGAGAGGGGAAGTACTGGGTCCCGCGCCTCACCTGGGTGCGAGGTGCTGCATCCGGGGCTTAGGTTGCTTTTCTTCGCTCAGGGCGCACCAGGAGCGGGTGACCCAGGAGCTGAAGAAGGCAGCTAAGCGGACCGTGAGCATCAGCGAGTAAGCGTGCGCTGCAGCCGCCCGGCCCTCCCGCGTTCGGCCTCGCTCGCCCTGTACCCTGCCACGGCCCAGAGGTCCCCACATAGTGGGAGCCCACAGAATGCGTGCAGACCGCTTGTGGTCTAGGAGCCAGCACGCAAGCCTGCGCGGACCCCTCATCACGGAGAACTCACATCGCGTGTCCCACACGGGGCGGGTGGGGAGGCGCTGTGCTGGCACCATGGCCTTCCTGAGTTTCCTTCCCTCTCCCAGGAGCCCAGACACCTTTGGTGATGATGGGACAAAGAAGGGGAGCGAGACCCTGACCCTGGCCCTGGCCACTGAGCCCGAGCCCCTGGACAGTGAGACTTGTGAGAAATGGAAGAGGCCGTTCAGGTGAGGACCAGGCGGCTGTCCCCGGGCTCTGAGCCAGACCCCTCCCAGAGTCTGCCGGGAGTCTTTCTCCACGGCTTTGGGGTTGGAGGAGAACTTGGGGAGAAACTGGGGTACAGCTTGGACTTCTCAGGATGGGTCTGCAGCCACGTGGGGCACAGGTGAGGCCCCTCAGGTGAAGATCAGAAGGCTGTCCCAGGGCGGATCCGACCCCCAGTGGCTAGAGCCATGTGGGGCACAGCTGTGCGGACCTGGGGCACATGTAAGCATGGCTGAGTGCCTCTGAACATATGTGCACATGTACTGATAGGTGTGTGCTCACACCAGTGGGACCCAAAGAGGGCTTCGTCCTTGGGTGCCCCCTCCACTCTTGGGCAGGGGTATGTGGCCCCCCAAAGTCATTGGCAGTGCTGGTGGGCCATGTCATCCCAGGATACACACACCCTCTTCTGAGCATTTCTGAGGTCACTCAGCAAGCCTAGGCTGCCCCCTGCCCCTGCCCCTACCCCAGCCCTGTGTGTCCCAGCCTGGGGTCATTCACCCCTCCCCTCCCATCTCCTCCTCATAGGCCCAGCTTAGCCTCCCAGAAACTTTTATTGGTGGGGACTTGAACAGCTGTTACTATGGAGGTGGAATTTGGGAACCTTTCATTGCTAAATCTTCCCACCTGTCCATTTTGGGGTTATTCTGGGTCACGGCTGTTCTGGTCTTCGAGGAGCCAAGCTCTTGTTCCAGGCTGGAGAGGTTATGAGCCTCTGGGTCCTGGCAAAGCATAGGGGTGAGTGACACAGCTTGCAAGGCCACTGGCCAGGCCCTCAGCTGGTGTCTCGTCTCTGCCCCAGGTCTGCCTCGGCCACCTCCCTGACGCTGTCCCGCTGTGTGGATGTGATGAAGGGGCTCCTGGAGTAAGTGTGTGCATCTGTATGTGTGCACCCGTGTCCCCAATATGGGCTGAGCCCTCCGGGGCTCTGTGTCAGGCTCCCTGAGCCGAGGCTTGGTCTCTCCCACTGGGGTTGTCCAGTTGTGAATCTGTTAGCCCAGAGGTGTGAGCCAGGTGTGCAGGCACGTCCCCAGCCCCTGCCTAGCAGTCCTCTAAGCTCTGTCCTCATCCAGGGTCCTCACAGGGGACCAAGAGCTCCATGCCCACTCGGCTGGGAAACAGGTGCAGAAATAGCAGACCTGACTCATTCAGGATCAGAGCCAAGCAGTGGCAAGGCCAGGATTGAACCCCCAACCCTGGGATTTCTCTGCATCCACTGCCCCTGCCCTGCTCCTGCGCCAGTCTCTGTGTACCCCCTCCATCCCCGTCCTACACTCAGCCCTGTGCTCAGAGGCTGGGGGGTGGGTGGGTGGTGTGTGCGTGCTGTTCCTCGGCCACATTCTGCCCCCTGCCACTTTGTTACTGCCTTATGGAGGCTTGGGGCTCCCATGTCAGGCCTTGCCAACCTCCCGACACCCCTCTCCTCAGTTTCAAGAAGAGGAGAGGTCACTCAGTTGGTGGAGTCCCTGAGCAGCGGTACCAGAGCATCCCTGTGTGCATGGTGGCCCGACTTCCCACGTGGGCTCAGGATGTGCTGGTAAGGGTGGCGCAGGGTTCGTATGTGGTGTACCGATGTGGGGGTCCTGGCCCAGCAGTGGTCCAAGGAGGCAGGGGAACAAGGCTGGGCTCCTGGGCAGGTGCAGGGGTTTGCCTTCCAAGGGGTTGATGGTGGGGGAGTGGCCAGGAGAGGCGGAGCCAGGCTGGTGGCAGGGAGTGCAGGAGGCCAGGGAGGGAGGTGGGTAGCACAGTAGTGTGGCTGCTGCAAGGGTCTAGGCAGAAGTGGTGGGTCCTGGTGGGGCCAAGTTTGAAACTCGATGTTTGGATGGAGTGCCTGAGGCGGGGATGACAAGTTGGCAACAGGCACGTGTGGGAGAGCCTTGGGCCTGCATGGGGAGTCCTGTGTGGAATGACCAGAACACCGGCCTCCCCTTTTCTGTAGGATGCCCACCTCTCTGAGGTCAATGCTGTTCGTTTTGGTCCCAACAGCAGCCTCCTGGCCACCGGAGGGGCTGACCGCCGTATCCACCTCTGGAACGTTGTGGGAGGTAGGGCTCCCTCCCTTGCAGGCCCACCTCATTCTGGCTCTCCTTAGTGGGCAACTGCCTGGGGCCTCTTCATTTCCCCACCTGGAACATTCCTGTGGGTACTGGCCAGATAACACCACAGCGAGCGTGAGACTCTGGGCTTGCCACTCTGAAGAAGGGCACAGTCTGCCTGGCTCTGGGGTCCAGACCTGCAGGGCAGGGAAAGCTGAGCCCAGATGGTCCCTGTCGGGGGAGGCAGGACCCTCTATCACGAGGCCTTCAAGGAACAAGGCCCTGGATCCACCAGGACACCTCCTTCTCTTCAGTCACTTGTGCTCTCAGGACTCAGTAGGGAGACCACTAGGGACATCCGCCTTGTCCAAGCGCTGCGTTCTGCAGAGATGGGTGGGCGGGGAGTCAGAGCCAGCTCCCGGGGCTTCCTCTAACTGGTTTGCCCTGTGACCTAGAGACACCCTTCTTTCTGGTCCTCAGCCCTCTGAAGAGACTAGATGGCCTCTTGGGGGCCCTCTTCCGGCAGTTAGGGGAAGTACAACTTCCCACCCAGCCCCCAGACTGCTGGGGATTCTGTCCTCAGTGGGGAGAGGCTGCTCTTCACGCTCAGTCCCAGGTCCTCTGTTTCATCAGGTTGGTGATTTCATTTTACCAGTCTTTCCTTTGGTCCCTGCAGGTCGCCTAAAGGCCAGCCAGACCCTCGAGGGAGCTGGTGGCAGTATCACCAGTGTGGATTTTGACCCCTCGGTGAGGAGCTGTGGCCCCAGTAGCATGGGATGCCTTTGATCTCCACACTGGGCAGGCGGGGGGGCTGTGGGACCCAGGGTAAATCATGGGTATCCTAGAGCTGGTGCTCGGACCACTACACAAACTTCCTTCCTGGGCCGAGTGTCTTCTTCCTGCCTTGGTGGCCGGCAACGGACAGCCCCTACCCCAGCTCCTAGGCCTGAGAGACATTGTCTCTGACCAGGCCCAGGACCTCCTCTCCACTCCCACATCTGTAGGGCTCCCAGGTTTTGGCAGCTACCTACAACCAGGCCGCCCAGCTTTGGAAGGTGGGAGAAGCCCAGTCCAAGGTGAGGTCTGGCTGGGACAGCAACCTGGGGCCCAGGGGTCCTGCCTTGGGATGGGGGGGTCTGTTGTGGGGCCCTGGCCATGCCCTTGACTTATACCTGGGGTTTGGAAGCAGGAGACACTGTCTGGACACACAGATAAGGTGACAGCGGCCAAATTCAAGCTAACGAAGCACCAGGCAGTGACCGGGAGCAGGGACCGCACAGTGAAGGAGTGGGACCTCGGCCGTGCTTACTGTGAGACCTAGCCCCCACCCCACCAGGAGCCCCCAGGCCAGGTGTGAGGCGCCTCCCCCTGCTCTCTGAGAGTGCTCTGAGATTCACAGGCATTCGAGGTGGACCTTCTAAGGCCCTCCTGTGTCACCCACCTGCCTGGTTTTCTTGCGCCCTTGGGCCTAGGGTAGGTGAAGCAGAGTGGAACAGTCCGAGCGTGCAGCAGGAGGCTTGCTTTCAATTTGATGGGATGCCACCCTGCCTCAGCTTCTCCATGTGTCCAGTGGCTGCTCCAACAGCCCTCGCTAAGCCCAAGGTTCTGCTTCTTGTCCCCAGGCTGCAGGACGATCAACGTGCTCTCCTACTGTAACGACGTGGTGTGTGGGGACCATGTCATCATCAGTGGCCACAATGACCAGAAGATCCGGTTCTGGGATAGCAGGTGACAGGTGTAGGCTGTGGGTGGGGTGGTAGAGCCCTGGGAACAGGGCTCCCAAGTTCTCATCCCTTCCTCTGGCCAGGGCTAGAGTTGCGGGCACCTGGGGCAGTGAGACTGGGTGGCTGGCACTGGTAGCTGTGGGCTCTCTGCCAAGCGAGGTCCTGAGGGCTGAGCTCCTAGGGAAGCCGTGCTTCCTTCTCAGGGGCTCTTAGTGCAAAATTGGATCCTGCCTGGGCCTTGCAGCCAAGATGAAGAGGTGATAGTTACCTTTTTTTTTTTTTTTAAATGCCAGAGGGTGGTGGGCAAGTGAATGAGAAGGAGAACATGCCCCGAGTGGGGCCTGGTCATGTCACAATCTTTTGCTGCAATTTTCCATCCCATCAGGATCCTGGGTGTGTGCGCATGTGCCTGCCATGGTTTTCAAGCTGCCAGGACCAGGATTTGAGTCCTGGTCAGTCATGTGGTATCCAGCTTCCTTTGTACGGTACTTAACTGTTGTGCTGTGGGGCTGGCCCTAGTGACCACTTTTTAATCAAAAGAGAAGAAATAAGTTTAGTTAGTTAGTTTGTTTGTTTTTTTGGATTATTATTTTTTTTTGCTATAGGGCGTGTACACGCGCCAGAGAGAGAGAGAGACAGAGAGACACCCCC